AGTTTTCAAAGGCTCCTATGAGCTGAGTATGTTAATGAATTAAGTCCCTAATTTTCTCGGACACCTTTGAAAGTTTCTTTCAAGAATTGAGTTAAAATATCTTCTTAGTGATGAAGTACAGGGTCTCCAACTTCCTGTTTCCTCATAAGAAAAAGCCCCTGAATCTCTTCAAGGACTCAGACGCATGCAATCCCAATGCAGGCAGCTCCCCTTGACAGACAGGTGTAAAAATGTGATCGTTCATGATGAGACCACTTATCGTTAATAAAATCTACCCAACGCCAGGTGTTTTCTGGAGTTTGGAATGACATCAGTAATTTTAGCATACAAACAAGCAACCCTTGCATTGTGAGTGGACTTTACTGGAGTATAGCATTTCTTTTTCTTTCTTTCCAGTTGCATCAAACAGAACATCCTTGTAACAGATATGTTAAGGGAAACCTAATCTCTCTCTCTCTCATTAATAGAAAGTGTCTCTTTCTCTTCCTGTTTTCCCAACATCTTGCAGGCCTTCCAAAGGAAGGGTGAGGGTGGGGAAGTAGTATAATTTACCATCAAATGAGCAGTTGCTGAAATTGGTGCATGGGAGCTGATGGAACAATCTCTCTCTCGTGCTGATGTATATGCTATGATTTCTGTAGCTAGTCTCTCTTCTCTGCTCTCAGCAGTTGTCTGGGCAGCTAATTGTCTGGAAAATTAAGAACTTCCGGTTTGGAAAATCTGGCTCCCGTTGGGCTTTCATTGCCATGCAGCAGCTCTGCAGCGGTCAAGGTGAGATCAGATGGGGAGGCTCGCTCTGTCCAGCTGCATGTCCCCAGAGACCCCATCACACATCCAGTACCACCATCTGCAAAACCTGATGTCATGTTAGCAAATGCTGCTGAGGGGCCACGGATCGGCTGGGTTGTGGAGATGGAATTTACCTTTGGTTCTGCTTGGACCGTTCTCCTAGTGGCATGGCATGGTCTGGTCAGGGCAGCTCAATCCTGATGGGCATTTGATGGTAAATATATCAGGGGTGAGCATAAGGAGCTAGGTGGAAAACTATTCACCAAAGTGCCCCAGGGGAAAACCAGGAGCAATGGTCATAAACTCTTGGAAAAAGGTTTCAGACTGGACATAGTGAAAAACTTCACGGTTCGTGTGACCAGACTCTGGAATAGACTCCCAGCAGGGGTGGTGCAGGCACCTACCCTGGAGATCTTTTAAAAAGAGACTGGATGTGCACCTTGCTGGGGTCATTTGACCCCAGTTGTCTTTCCTGCCCAGAGCAGGGGGGCTGGACCCAATTATTTCACAAAGTCCCTTCTAGCCCTAAACTTCTGTGAATCCCAGCAGCAGCATCTGCCTGTTTTGTGAATAAATGGAGGATATATATTTTTTTTCTTCTAGGAAAAACCTAGTGCTAAAATGGAACACTTTTTTTATTCTTTACCCCCGCTTGCTCCCATTCTGTGCATCAGATCCCAGAAAGGAAGTGGTATAGCTGCATTAAATAGGGGCTGTCTGAGTGCTAGTGCACTTGCCTGAAACAAAGAGCCTAAGCAATGCTGGGTATGCCTTTAGTGTCACTCTGAAGTAGCCGTAGTTCTTCATTTTTGGGAACAGGTATGTTCTGAGTAGGAGCATGATATAAAGATACCAACGGAGGCCTGTTTTTTAGATGGACTGCTACTGAGAGGCACCATTCCTCTAGCTCTGCAGATAGGAGCCCTATGTTGTCAGGGCATCTCCTTGGCACTCCGTAGATAAGGTTAAACATAATCCTTTAAACTTTTCCTGTGTGATGCTTATCTCTCTGGCAGAGAGCGGGGAGTTTGACAGAGACAATTAAAGACTCAATTGTATTTATTGCTTCCTGAAAAAGGGTATTTCTGCTGACATCCTTTGCTTATGCCCACCCTCTGTGGGAAGCTGTTACTGTTCTGAATGGAACTTCTTCCAACTTGGTCAGCAACTCTGAGGAGTCAATACACTTTCCTACAATCAATGCCGAGTTTCTAGCCAGCCTCACTCACTCTACCATTAGGCATAACTATCTACTGTAAAACCTCTCCTCTAAAACAGGGTGTAGCACTAGACTGAGTGAAGAATTAATAGCCTCAGTGCATGTTTATTAGAGGCCTCTGAAGTAACTGTTCTGGAGTTGTGGGTAGGGGAGCATTGGCTTCAGGGCCTTCCAGCTAGCTGCAGTGCTCCTTCCAGTGACCCCAGGCATGTGACTCATTCTGCAGCTGGTGAAGCTCCTGAGATGCAAGTCTCCCATTCCTCCATAGTGGATTTAAAAATAGAAACAGAATGGCTTTGCCTGAGCAATGGTTTCCAGGGAATGTGACAAATTTACAGAACAAAATCCTTCAGAGAGGAAGCAGTACAAGGCACTGGTACAGTGCCTTGTATTGGGAGAACTCAGAGCGCCTTGCAGATGGGCATAAACTGGACTTCCTTATCAGCCCGCCGTCCCTCAGTGAGATAAGTGACTGTCCTGCCTATCCCGTCCATAACAGTCGGGGAGCAACTGAGTGACTTCCTCTGAGGACCTGCTAAGTTGGGGGGCAAAGCCGAAAGAATGGTGCTTTGCTGTAAGAGCATCTTGCTCACGGGTACAGCGTAGATGACATGTTGCAAAGTTTCCCCAGCCCTGCCTCACCCCTGCAACTCTGGCATGGAGGGCCCTCTTCTGTGAAGCAAGGTTCTTTAGTTGCTGCCAGTGGAGGGGATGATGCTCAGTGTTTATGTAGGATGTTGAAGACTCTCCTAGGAATATGAGCTCACCAAACTCCCTTCCTCTTCTGCCTCTTGCTGATTTTTACTGAGGTACATTTAGTTCACCTACAGGTTTTTGGGTTTTTTGGGGGGGGTTTTATGCCATAGGATTTATTGTTTATATTACAGTAACCCCCATAGCAAAAGACTGTCTGCCCCAAAGACCTTGCAGCTTAAACGGCAGAGAAACAGGTGAAGTAGCTTGCTCAAGCCACTCCAGCCGGCTGTGATGCGAGGAGGCATTGAACCTGGAACTTTGGTGTTGCAGCCCCCTGCCTGGACCACGATACCTGCCTTCCTCCCAGGGGGGTCTTTGTCAGCTGGATACAGAACTGCTGTCCCCACACCCTAACTAATGAGCCAGCTCTACTGTTGCTCAGCAATGAGCTCTGTGCCTTTTGTGAAGATTTGCGGTATGTAAGTGTGGATCCCAAGCTGACAGCCAGCAGTGAGCAGCCTGCTAGGCTGGAGCATCTCAGCTGAGCAAAACTGTTTGCGTGTCTGCTACCTCCAAAAATGAGCAGTGATGTCTCAAACTGGGCCAAGGAAATGAATAATTCAGTCCTCAGCAGGTTGATGTAACTCATTCAAGAGTACATGGAATATTTTGATAATCTACCTGTCTTTCCCTTGTTCTTCTCTCTGCATGATGGTAGCTTCTTTCTTGGGGGTGGAAGGGGAAGGGGTGTTACTGTGGAATAATTCCCAGCTGCTTTGGTCTCTAATGCATGTTCTGTAAATGAACGCAACCTTGTGCAAGGCTCTGCCCTCCGTTTCCTAGTGCAGAACACTTCATATGTAAGAAGGACCCCTATCTTCCACCCCCAAACCCAGCATTGAGCTATCAAACGAAGCTGGTCTGTTGGCAGCTCTGGGGACCAGAGTTTGAGTCTTCATGCTAATTGCTTCCTGGCTTTTGTTTCCAACTCTGCAGCCAGGAGACCTTTGGACATGACCTCCTCCCCCATCTCTGAGCTTCTGTTTTTCCATCTAAACAGTGGGCACCATGAAACAATCAACTTAAATAAGAGCCTCCCAAAGCTTACTATATAGCAAGAAATTTGAGCCCCTGATACAGAATTGAAAAGTGTGAAAGACTGAATGTTTCCCTGACTGACCATTCATTCTCTTAAGGTCAAGGTGCCTGCATAAACTGAAAGTCTGCACACACCCCACTTAACGTTACATGGATGGCTATTTATGGGTAGGGAGACTTGCAAATCTGATTTGTTGTGGAACAGGGTTTATGCCAAAATAGCCTTTCCCTTTATCTTGCACGTTAAAATCTGCCTTTACATTGCTGGCAGTCTAATGGAGGCTGCAGGAGCTGTAAGCCAGATGTGCACAGCTGTGGAGCAGTTAACACACCTGTAGAGAAGGTACCATGCCAGTTGCAGTACTTAAAGCAGCTTCCACGCAAATGTGCACGTACCCTTTCTCCCCTACACTTGGCCACGAGTTACAGCTGTTATGGGGGATGTTGCTCTGCTGCAGACCCTGCTAATGAAGAACCGGAGGAGAGCCTGTGGCATAATGAAAATGAATTCTCTGACCGCTGCTTGCAGTGCCAGAGCAGCACTTAGCCACCTCCCAGTTAGGGGAGTCAGGGTTAACTATCCTCTAAGCCCAGCATTCGTTCCTTGCTAGTATTTCTACACTGGGAACAGTGGCTGGATGCAGTCTCCTGCCCCAAATTGCCTTTAGGTGGGTTAGGCCAAATATTTTTAGGCTCCCTGTCTTCAGCTTGAGGCAGGAAGCAACTTCAAAATCTATCTAGTCCTGTCCCTTTGCTATTGTGAGGGGCTGGGTAGACCCTGTATTCCCTATTGGGCCTCACTGCAGTTCCCATGTGACACTGACTGTCTTTGACACCGTTCATCCCTCCCATCAAAAATGATCAACATCAGCCTCCCTTGCCCTTCCCCCTCATCCCTGGCTGGATTGGTTTCCCAGTGTAGCATTAATATCTATGACTTCCTGCTGCACTGACTGTAACTGAGAACTGTGGATTCATGAGCTTTGGAAAAGGCCGTGAGTTTAAAGCCAGATTCTCTGCTTGGGCCTCTTGCCTTCTTTCAGTGGCAGATGCAGGGCACGTTTGGAATTGGGTAGTTTACCTGTAACCACAGAGATGGTGACTTGCCCAAATTTGTGTAGAAAGTGTGGGAGAACCCAGCAGTCCTGACTCCTGGGCCCGAGAGCTAATCTTGTGCACCATCTCAGCAGGGGGGGGGCCCACAAGGTTGCATTAGCAGCTCTGCTAATCCTTGCATAAACTTGGAAGTCCATCCCAAAATATATCCCTTCTCTCCTTTCATCTCATAGACTACATCACAGAGGTTTCTGCCTCTCTTCTTGCTGCATCAGCTTGAAAGGTTACCTCCGGTCACAGAAGAAGCCTGACACTCAATAGCTCCTGTTTCCACTGTAAACTTGATCACTGCAGGGCATTTTGAAAGAACCCTTCATTGGTGATGGGAAGTGGCCACTCTCATTCTTGCTGTCTATCTCTGAAGAAGACTGCAGTGAAAGGTGCTGAAAGATGTGTGGGAGGGGCCAAATGACTATAACATGAGGGTGAGCAAAATGTGGCCCGCGGGCCAGACCTGGCCTGCTGAGGATATTTTATCCAACCCGTGGCAGGTCCCTCAGTCCCACTTAGCCCAGGTGCAGGGGGCATCCCAGGTCGTGGCATGTGTGGCTGGTCCTGCCACCTCCTGGCGCACAGTGGGGCTCGTGCGGTATGGTGGCCAGACTCCATTTCCTGGCAGCCCCAGTGGTGGTGGCTCCTGGCTGCTGCCACTGGACCCAGCCCTGCTGCCTGGGCACCCCAACCTACCCACCCCAAACCCATTGCTGAGGGCAGGACCTGCGCAAGTGGCTGGGATGGGGCCATTGGCCAGCGGGAGCAAGAGAGATGAGTGGGTGGGACTAGGGAGACCTAGGATCTTGAAGCAGTGACAGCTTGGGGCCAGGGTCTGGGGCAGAGCCACGGTCCACTGGCTGCATGGCCCTGCGGTGGGCACTGGTTCCACAGGCAGGGGCATGTGGGGAGAAAATTACAGTTTGGCCCCCAGCCCCACACTGCCATCGCCACAAGATCCTGGCCCAGGTCCCATAGCGCTGGCAGCTGGGGACCCCCTCAGCTGTGGGATGTGGCCCACATAACACATTGAGATCTGCAAGTATAGCCCACTGTGGCAAATAGGTTGAAAACCACTGCTCTAGGCACTGCTATAGGACAGATGCTAGTGATGGGGCTGTAAATATGCACTGGCAGGTTGTGTGAATCGGGTGTTATCCCTCCTCAGGAGGGATTTGTGGAGTTAAGTACACAAATCCACCTTCTGATCAATGGCTGCAGAAGGCAATTACACAGGCCTGTGACCTGAATTAGTTGTCGGCCATAGGAGCAATCTCTCCAGTTAATTATTCCGACCTTGCTCTCCATTATTTGCCCCTTGATGTCCAAGCCAAGCTAGCGACCCTATGATGGAGCACAGACTGCTACAGAAGCCCCTTGCAGTTTGCTTTGATTGGGGGGAGGGGGCACAGCTATGTCTGGTCTTTTCAATGCTTGGCTAGGTGTTCAAATCTGTGTAAAATCCTGAGATTGGCAGTGAAATCCAGAAGGCACAGGCTTGGGTGGTGTGATGTTCACCTCACCAACTCCAGCATCAGCATGGCACCTGCATGGAAGGGCCAGGGGCTGAAAGCAAAAAAAAAAAGGCTTTTTTTTTGGTTTGGGGGGAGAAGTCACGCATGTACTGACTGGGGCTACCCTTGTCATCCGAATAGGACTTTGCCTTCTTCCATAGTCCACACTGACTTTGTAGCAGATGCCATCACTATTTGAGAGACTGAAGTGAGGTGATCATCAGGGGAGCAATATGGTTGTACTATCCATAGGTTTACACGTTCTTTGTACACTGTGGCCTGCTGTAGGGACTTAAGGGTGAGTTTGTTTTCCTCACCAACTTCCTCTGTCCTGGGTAATTCTGCAGTGCCCTGTGCATGCATGTGTGCATTGCAGGCGCACGTGCGTGCTTTCAGTCCCGTATATGAACTCTCACTGACCTTCTTTTCTGCTTGCCTCCGCAGTTTGCTGGTAGGTGGAATGGGACAGTCATGAATGGTGATGCCCTTTGCCAAGAATCTTCCTCCCAGCTTCCTGACTGGAGGGAATTCTGTGAGCTCCATGCCCAGGCGGCTGCAGTGGACTTTGCTCAGAAGTTCTGCCAGTTCCTGAAGGAGAATCCCCACTACGACACCCCCGGGGCCGAGACCTCCTTTTCCCACCACTTTGCTGCCAATTTCTTGGACATCTTCAGCTTGGAGGTCAGCAGGGTGTTTGTGTCCGACTCCCCGACCAAATACAACATCGTGCCCTTTGTGGGGCTGCAGAACTGCCACATGCCTTATGGGAGAGACATCATACAGAGGAAAGAGGAGACCTCCACAGAATCCTTGGACAGCATGGACAACCCAGTCAGCTCCAGCAGGTATCTGAGCCAGTCACAGCAGGCTCAGGCACACAAAGTTTCTTCCTATGGCCACTCTCGCAGCTCAGAGGACGTGTCTGTACATGCTACCTCCAAGCCAAAGTTCAAGAAAGGCTTCTCCTTGAGGAACATGAGCTTGTGTGTGGTGGATGGTATGAAGGAGATGTGGCACAGGAAATCTTCTCCAGAGCCAGGCATAGAGGCTACACAGAGCAGCAGGAGGTCAGACAAAGAGCACTGCCCTTCTGGGAACAAGGAGCATAACGACACCAGGGAGAGATGGACGCACAAGCTGCGGCTGTCGAAAGTGCAATCTTCCAAGGTGGAATTGGTGGACATTCAGAGGGAGGGCACCCTCCGCTACATGGTTGCAGATGACACGAACTGCGTGGGTAGCTCTCAGTGGCAGAAGTGTCGGCTGATGTTAAGGAAAGCGGTGAAGATGGAGGGGGAGAGGTTCTTGCTGGAGTTCTACGTACCGCCAAAGGTAAGTCCTCAAAGGTTCATTGGGAAGACTCTTCCTATCCGTCCTAATTGGCTTGATCATACCTGCTTAGTCTGCAGCATGCAACTTTATAGCGGTAATGCTTCTTGCCCCACAGACCCTTGGTGATATGTCTCCAGGCTGCACTTCATTAGAGTTCCACATGGCTGAGTCAGTTTTTCAGCTTTCTGCTGGGGTGGTATGATGCTGACAGGTTTTTCTCCTTTATTGTTTCAGCTGGTCTATTTTAAGCCTCTGCCTCCAGGTCCTAAATGTCCCAGCAGGATGAAGCATCATTCAGTGTTTATGCTTATTTTTTTTGCACCTGACTCTTCTCTAAGTTTTTTGACACTCTGTGCCACTGCCAGTTGAGGCTCCCTGATGCCCACGCTTCCAGCTCACTATTGTCTTCAAGGTTTTGAGCGAAGTCTTAAACAGTCACCAGTGCCTTACTCCTGAGTGGAAGATCTACCTTGAAGCTAGTTCTTACATCCATGCTGATGGGATGGTGACCCCATGGTTAGAGCATTAGCCTGGCACTCGAGATCTGGGGATTTGTTCCTTCTGTATCACAGACTCTTTATCTGAGTTTAGGAAAGTTGCTTCACAATTGGGTTTCATTTTCTCCATTTGGGAGCTAGAAGCAGTCTCTTACCTCACAGGACAATTACAGTGAATGAGAGGCTAAGGCTAATGAGGGGACATGTACCAGAGCAAGCAAGGGAACCAGAGACCCTTCCCTTCCCTGTTACTGTAGAAAGGGGCAATATTGCATTACTGTCTAATCAGGCTGGCTGCAGGTCACAGTGTGAGGGCCTGAAGTCACAAGCTCTGGCACTACACAGATGAATGGCTCTCTAGGAGCTGTTAACCTGTGACAGACAGATCCCTCCTCTAGCCCCAGGTAACAATTCATTTCTGCTGATTAAATGTTAGTTCACAGGAGCTGATATTGAGTCCCCATATCTCTCTGCCCATTAGCTGTGAGGCTAATGAGAATTTTATTGGGTGCTGCTCACAAAACCACTTGGCCACTCACTGGCTTGCTGACAAGGATGTAAAATTTAGCTCATGAGGGCTGTGAGCTGTTCTGCGCTCTCAGCCCATTAGCAATATCGCTCATGTATTTTGGGATGGGGTCCGCAGAGGGTTTGGGACATCTCTACCTGGCCTCAGACAGGGGGTTTCCAAGATGTAAAGGCAGGGTGTGGCTTCAGTGTCCCTGGCTCTGATGTTTAACCTCTTCTTGAAACTCGGTAAAGAAGAACTAAGTGTCCCTCCTGCACTTTGTCCTTCCTGTCCTAAGGGCAGTGGATTTCTACTAGATACGAGCTAAGATCCTATTAGGGCTTTTTCCCTCCTATCAGATCCTGGGTCTCCATTCCCAGCACCAGTTCAGGGTCCACTGAAATCTCTCAGTAACTCTCCAGTCTTGTGAGCCTTTGGTCATTCTGGACTAAGGTCTCACAAGATCGGAAACTTGTGAGATTGATGGTGTTGAGCTTGCCTGCTCCCCTTGATCTGGTTTCAGACACGTAGGCCAACCTGTTTTCCAGATCTGGACACCATTTCCTTAGGCTGTCCCTAATTTCAGCTTAACTTGTGCTGTCTTTTGACAATGAACTTGCTTATAGTTTGATTATTACATGTGCTCAGTAGTATCGCGAGGTTGTGAAAATAGGGGAATAGAACAGAATTCATTGTTATTAAGGCTGTGAGGCGTTTCAGGTGCTGATTCGATTCAGAGGAGATTTGGCCCGATTCGGTGGCTGACTCTCCGAATCGAATCAGGGGACCAATTTAAAGGTCCAGATCGATGCCAAAGATTCGGAGAGCTTTGAAAAGATATTTGGAGAGCTTTGATTCAGGTAATCCCCGGTGGCTGCAGCAGGGAGCTGCAGCCACTCAGAGCTGGTAGGTACTAGGGGCAGGGGG